GCTACCGGCTGGGGCTAAACCACGTCAACAGTATACTGGCTTTTTGTATCTGAGAAGAATTAATATTTTTATGTAGGTTCCAGGACTTATAGTTAAAAGTTCACTGAATTTAACTATATGACTCAAAGTATATGCTGAAATCAGAATTTAAGATCACATTCCCATAGCTTTTGATGGTACTTTGAGCCATACTTTTCAAAGTGCCTTCAAATTCCCAGCTGGTGAAGAAGTGACTTTATGGTACTGATCTCGGTTCTTGTAGATTAAGTTCTATAAATGCTTTAGGATGAAGATTTTTTTAAAGTATTGCTTCATTCTAGTTATTCCTTTTATGAATGGAGTGATGTATGTGAAACTCTTACCTTACACTAGCTCAAGTCCTTTTCTTCAGGTCAGAAATCGATAAAAGTATGTCTTTGTGCCTTACGTGACACTTCTTGCAAGCAGAAGCTAATCTTGCATAATTCTCCTGCAAAATCAGTGCCAGAAACCTGAAAGTTTTAATCTGTTCACACTCTCAGATTTACCAACTAACATTTATCCTGGAATTAATACTGTCAGCTGGACCTTAAAATATCTAATGTCATGTGTGTAAATGCTTTATTTTAAGATTTGTGAAAATTGTGTTCTTTCTTCTTTACTTCTAAGTTTCACTTGTTTAGCTACATGCCATTAGTGAACAAAAGCCTGAAATTTGAAGATGTGTTGGTGGAATACTGTTGAAAAAGTCTTTTTAAAAATAAGACTTATTTTTGCATCATAGGAGTGGTATTTGAGGATTTTTTTTAAACATGATTTTACTTACCTCTCTGTTTTCAAACTTTAAGATTCCTTGCCTTCTCACTTTGTTCATTTTTTCTTTTATGTTGTTTCTAAAATTAACTACTGTCAGCAGAAACCTTTGAATTTTTGAGGACAGAATACTTGGTACGTAAAGTTAGCTGCTCGCCATACAGCCAAAATAATTCAGTTTGTAGACAGAGATAACTATTTACCATTACATCTCAATTTCCTTGCACCTTTGCTAAGTGCAAGGCTAAGTGCCCATTCTTTCTTAAATTTGAATGCACTGGAACTGGTAGCACTGGCAAAATGGCAGGAACCTGGAAACAAGTATTGTTCAGAGTAAAATGTAGGGATTCTTATTTTGCTTCTCGGTGAGACTGCCTCTGGAGAGAGTGTGCCCTTATGTATGCCTTATCTACCCATTTTTCTTCTGCTTAATTCCCTCTTCCGTGTATGGAGAGAAGATATAGGAGGGAGACACTTGCTGGATATGGTAGAAGAAAAGACTATTCTTGAACACTGTGGCTTCACAGCTCCTTAACAAAGATTGCACATAGGGACCCCATCAAGTTTTTTCTTTTCACGCTTTCCTCACTAAAGATTACCTACAGACTCCTTATTTATTAAACTGGCATTAATAAATTATGTCCAGTCTTTTGGAATTATTACTGTCAACTAGGCAGGCCTCTGATTCTGTGAAGAAACATCTTGTTCATGTCAGGAAATAAATGCAAAGTAAATGTCTGAACTGCTTGCTTCTGAGGCCTCTTACAGTAAGGGGTCAGTAAGTTTGGGTGTGCACAATGTTTGGCAAGGACAGGAACACTGAAAGTACTAGAAAACCCATCAAACGAATATTCCTTGTTGTGTCAATAGTAAAACAATACTTTAAAAATGGATAGTGTATTGCTGCTGGAGGTACCATACCCTGTGATCTCCTAGTGGTGGGGTTATATAAGCTTATTTTGGGGAAAAAAAAAAAGTAAGTATTTTAATCCCTATATTTGGGCCAAAATCAATTTTGTATGGTTAATTCTCCAATAGCTTTCATTTACAGAGTACTATTCACATCTGGTCCTATTCAAGCAATAGTAATGTTATCTTGAAACGCATATTGTACAGGACTCCAAAAGTGCATGAGCTTTTTTATTGTAAGAAATTTGGTACTATATCTAATCTGTGACAGGTTTTGAGATCTTTCAAGATGGTATGGTAAATTTACTCTTTCGCTCCCTGTATGATGACTTATTAATATGGATCAGAAATATGATGTATCGCTTTATACAGTTGGATTATAACCAATAACTTATTTTTTCTCAGTTCCGAAGACAGAGAATGTTGAAGATTCTGCAACCTTTAATATAAACTTAATGAAGTACCCTTGTAATGACTTCAGAAAACCAAGCACAGAAATAAAGATCAATAGGAAAGCTGCATTTGGAACTACAACTCTTGTCTTAACAGATCTTAGTAACAAAGCTGTTTTGAGAAATGATACCCAAATATCCTATGGACTCTCTCAGTGTGTTGCTCCAAAAAGCAATTGTAATCAAATCCAAAACAAGTTCTACCAGTCAGAGGGAAGCACAGATAAGGATTGCTCAACACACGTAACTGCTATGGCTTTTTCCTCCTGTCAGCAACCTCTGTCTTCCAGACATGTACAGAAGAAACAGAAAACTGATTGTATACCCTCGATTCACCAATATAATATAGGAAACAGGTATGTATTCTAAAACATAAACAAGTCTTTTTATAATCCCATAAATCAACTTTATCCCTGAAAATTAATGGAATACTGTGCTGTTGAGTTCAGACACTGTTGTCTTTGGATTTCTGCCAGAGGTAACTTATTCTGGGATAGCTAAAATTGCAGTCAGATTTCAAAAGCACTGAATGACCTAGGCTGTTGCTGGAAAAATCCTGATTTTGGCATCTGGCCAGTACTGCTGTTAAATAAACAGCTGTTCATATTTCAGCTATTCCCATGGGACAGGATAGTATAGCTCTAATAGGCCAACAAGCATGGTTCTACCTGAGATAGCACTGTAGTTGCTATCTGCTTAGAGAGATCTTGAAGTCATTGTGAAAGATAACAAAAGGAAAGTAGCTGAATGATTATATTCTAATTAATTATTTGTCAACTAGCAGTTTTCAACATTCTTCCATGATACGAAGCTCTGTACAGGTACCTTGATGAGCTTCCCATCACTATTTTCTCTTAACTTTCCTCCCTATCCTAATTGTAACTACTTCAACGCTCTACCCATCCTGAATTTTTATTTACACAGCCCTATTCAGGCACATCCATTATCCAGTTAAGAGAAATGTGAGAACCTATTAGGGTTGTCAAGGAAAATTCGGGCATACACAATGGTAATGGGAATGCAAGGTAGATGTCCCTTACAGTGGTAAATTATGCAGCGTGAATGTGAAATATTAATGATATGCTACAAAACTCTTGGTCATGTGTCTGTTCTGAAATACAGAAATTATTTCTTGCATTGTTGAAGCATCAGTTTTGAAACAGGATCTCACTGGCTATGCAGGTTAGGCTCTATGAATATACTTTCTCCTTGCTGTCTCAGTACAGGATTACAGAGAACTGAGGATGTAGGCAGGATAATTGAGAATACAGAGGAGTGCAAGGAACAAATGAGAGTATCAATCATGATAACAGGTAGTTATAGCAAGTCATTAACTTAAATGTTTAAAAATCCCAAAACAACAACAAAAAACCCCAAAACCCAAACACTTGGTAACAAAAAACAACAAAAAACTTGTGGGTTTTTTTTTTTGTTTTAATGAAGTGTTGGAAGAAAACTCCTGATGTCTGCAGGACTGCAATCTTCCGGACATAAAAGAACATAAAATTCCTAAGCTGATAACAAGAATGACATAATTTCTTTTTTCACTAAGGTTTCATCACTGCCTTTCTGCTCTATAAATATACACTTGAGAGTATCTATGCAAAGATACACTTGAGAGTATTAATCTTTTTCATGTTACTGTGTTTAAATAAAGCCTTGTGTATTGCATTCAGATAATCTCTGTCTTAATCACAATGAAGAAAGAAAGAAAGAATTTATGCCATTCAGAGAACACTGTTCCATCCCCTCAGCTGGATTACTTCTTGTCCAAATAAGATTTGGAGCATTACTGTAACTTTTTAGTAAAGAGGGTGGAGGTCTGTTCTGTGAAGCATGTAAATACCTTCAACCTGGAGTAATTACTTGGTATTGGTCTTTTTTCCCACTGAGAGCAGAATACTTTTTTAGAATATGTTGGAATTTGGGATGGGCAGTATAATAGTGGTAGTAATATTTATTTTGTTTTGTTGATTAATTTGAGTAATTTGAAATAATTTAAAACATGGGCTAATTCTGGGGAAAACTGGTATCAGACCTGCAAGAAAAGCACACAGTCTTGTCTATTCACTACTAGCAATCATTCAGCTTTACAGGTGCAATATGGTGCATTAGAGAAGTAAGTTCTCTGGCTGTCATTGCATGTAAAAATACACTGTGTGAGCTATTGTAACAGTAGGAGAGAGTTCTTTGGCTGTGGTGTTGATAATCCCTTTAATATTATGCAGGAGTAATTTTGTGACCTGTCATTACAGCACACCTCAAGCTAATATGACAGATGATACTCGTATGTTAAGCGTGGGCCATCCTCGCTGCAGTAAACACAGCCGTCTCTGCAGTCTCAGAGTTGTGAGAAAGGATGGAGAAAACAAGGGCAGGCAGTTTTATACCTGTCCTCTACCCAGAGAAACTCAGTGTGACTACTTTCAAGTAAGTATGGAAGACTTCACGGCCTGTTTTCTAATAAGCGCTTGTTCCTGCAGCCTCCTTGCCCCAGTAGTGTGTAAGCGTGGACAGATACAAGCCATTTAAAGTTTGAAGTAGTTTCAATTCAATGTGCAAAAGTATTTAAAATTAAGAGCATAATAGTAGTTATAAACTTAGAGTTTGTTACTTCTCTTACTGCTGAGAAGACACATGCTTGTGCAAATCTGCTTGTGTGATGTAAAACAGATGCGTAGCAGAAGTGTTCAAGGGACTTGTACAAGTCATTTAGTTTGGCCTCTTGCTTGAAGGAGGACTATGGCAAACTCTAGATCTAGACATCAACCGTGTTTCTGTCTAACCAAAATCCTGAAAACCTCCAAGGATGAAGATTCTGTTATCTGCCTGGGCAACTGCTCCCACTGCTGCACTAATACCTATTCTGACCTTCCAGCTGCAACTGGTGGCCATTGCTCCTTGCTATGAGTGTATGTGACTGAGAAGAATTTGACTCAGTCACCTACCACCAAGTAGTTAATAGATGAACTCAAGACAGTAATGACTATAATGGCTTAAATGGAGAAACCTGTTAACAATTAAAGTTACACTAGTTAAAGTGCGTACAGTTACAATGTTAAAAAAAAAATCTAAAATTAGTGATTACAAAAGAGATCAAACTCTAAATTACTAGAAAGAGTTTCTTCTAGGGTGTCCCTTGTAGATCGGTTTCTATTGTCAGTTTTAAAATAAGGAGTTAATGGTCATCACATGCTAAAACTGTTCCTGAAACCTGTTTCTTTTGGCAGTGGGCTGACTTGAATTTTCCATTTTGTAACCATGGCAAGCGATGTGTTATGAAGACTGTGTTGAAGATTGGTCCCAATAATGGAAAGAATTTTTTTGTGTGCCCTCTTGGGAAGGAGAAACAGTGTGGCTTTTTCCAGTGGGCAGAAAATGGGCCAGGTATGCAGGTTATTCCTTGATTTCAGTGTTACAGTTATCCTCAGGATGTCTTAAGTGCATACAACTTTCCTAGTAATTTCTATTTTGTTTCTATTTCTATTTTGTCTTTTTCCCTGTTCACTGGTTAATTAGTAAAATAGCTCCAACAATGTAAAGAACTGCAGGTCTGGAAAGAGTAATTTTACATAGTCCTATAAAAAATAAACACTGCTTGTATGCTGCATACTATTTTGAAATAAGCATCTAGCTTGCAATATACTGTTACATAGTGTTATATTTTTAATAAAAATTTGAACTTTTTTTATGTAAATGTCACTGAAGTTTGACAACACTGTGCTTTTGAACATGTGATTTATAGAATTGATAAGTTAATCTAAATTAATATTTTAAATTGGTAGACTTTCATAAGTGTAAACATGTATTTAATAAAAGTGAATATAAGGTCAATACACTTTTTTAAAACCACTTCATACTTTTTCCTCAGAGCTTAAAATGAAGCAGCAATGGACTGTACACTTTGAATGTTACCATAGTTGAATGTGTGATCTTGCTTACATTTGGAAAGCAAAGACAAAAACTGCCCTAAAATTAATAATGTGACTCTGCAGTCTTCTTAATTCCATGTTTTAAATCTGGGTCTTAACATTTTATTTTAGTTACTACTGAACTTTTTTCCCCAATCCATATGTAATGCATAATAAAACCATACCTCTTAGGTGGTTAAAACTGAGTTTACATTTGATTGTCTTACCATTATTTGATGAAGCAAGAGGAAAAGTAAATAGAATATGCTAAGCTATCACAGGGGAAGTAAAGCAGAAAGACAGTTCTTCAAATCTTCGGAGAACAGACTATAGATAACAAGGAAAATGAATTAATGAAAATATGGCCATAGCTTTATGAATGATTGAATGACAATCAGTTTTTAAAGAAACAGTAATGGGAAATAGTGTGAGATGAAACAGGTGTAAAAGCTTCTTGTAAATGGTCCTTCAGTCTGTGTAAATACTTCAGAATTGTGTCATTTCTGACAGATAACTGCTTTTTTGCCTTCTTTTAAGGGGGGGGTGGAGGGAAAGGACTACTAAATTTTCCTGAAAAAGTTGTGGAACTTTAGTCCAATTTAAATCTTCCATGCCATGGTGCAAGTGAAACTGATTAATTTTGTCCTAACCAACACAAATTCAGAGGCTTTTTTTCTTCTTTTCAGAAGCCTTTTGATACCTTTCAGATCTTTCAACAGTTTCCTTCTGTGAAGGAAATCTTTTTCTAATCAGACTGTAGAAACTATAATCCTTATGTTGCCCAATGGACTCTTTCCAAAGAATATGTATCTTTTATGAAGCCTGTTGTTTAAAGTGGGGTATGGAACTCCACCTGAGAACAAAACAAGCTACTTCACAGGGTGAAGACTGACTTTCCATTACCATTTTTTTATATGATACTTGTTACAATGATATGTCACTGACAGCAATTGTAAAGATTTAGATGTATAAGCACAAGCTATCTAACCAGTTCCTCACTTGTATTTGTACAATTGATTACTGTGATAAAGTGATTATTTTTAAATTGTACATGCTTTTGGATGTCTTGCACAGGGATAAATCTTCCATAGTTCAGCTAAACATAAAGAATCAAAAAGAAATACAACCATTTTTGATCACTTGCCTTCAACAAATGTTAAGATCTCACTGAAGCTGGAAGTTAAATGACTTTTTCAACCTTTGATGCTTCAAAGATAACAGTTGGGCTGTTATGTCTGGTTTTTTATCTTAGCAGTCAGACAAGAACTATCTGTTTACATATAACACATACATGTTTTAAAAGATAAACTGTTTTATTAGCTACTGCAATCACTTTCCTTTTTCTATTCTTATATTTCTAGAATGTGGTGTTGTGTATTTTTTTGAAAAAAAGGGCACAAGCAATATGGAAAGTTAACCTGGACAGTGGAACAGTGATGTATAAAGTTTGCATAATTTAAAAGCATAAGAAATAACCTACATTAAAAATCTTACTATCATAATAGTAGAAGTTTCATCTTGAATAAAAGTTGTGTTTTATTTTTTAAAAGGGACTTCCTGTATTGCCTTATTTCTGCTACTTTCAGCCTAACTAATTACAAAAGTTAGCACGTCATAACTTGTATTTATCTCAAACATGATGTAATAGGCTAGCATAGTCTAGCTAGTTGGAATAACTAGAGCTGGCTGCAGATCAGTAGCTTGAACAGCTGTACTTTACTATTTACCAGTGAGATGACAAATTAGAGATTTTATGAAGTCTCTGATTGTGTGTGAAGTTGCAATAAAACAGGTCAAGAATTCTAAGCCTCTAAGTTTCTCTAAAGATGTTTCAGAATGGTTGTATCACTGAGTGATATCACTGTTTTGGACAAATAGTTGTCTCAGGAAATGCATATATTGCTCAAAATCCGGCAAGATGTCATCTAGCAGACAGCATGTACCATGTGTGAGAGGAATTCTGAAATGTTGTAAAAATAAATTTAAGTAGTTTAAACAGGAAATAGGGCAGAAGCCTCAGGGCAAGGTATGGCTATTAAAGTGCAACATGAAAGTTTTGTTTATGGAATAAATGTTTATGGAGAAATGTTTATTTCTTAAACAAAACTCTAAATTTAGAAATTAGACTACTGCCTAACACTCAAACAATTTTGGTATTAGTACCCTTTCCCTATACCTCATGAAAGAAAATAGGGTATGCTAATATCAAGGGGAATTTAACTGCTTTTTTACATTGCTAAGGCTACTAGGCTATACATTAAATAACAAGATTACAATTAAATAATTTATAATCTCATGCCTCCCCTATAAATACCATCCATTTAAGCTATAAACTTAAAATACTTGTAGAGTGTGTTCCTTTGGGCATCTGTTTTGAAGGGGTGGTTGTGGTGGGTTGACCCTGGCTGAGG